GGGGTAACTTTTTCCACACAGTGAAGCTCCTCTTCTATCTTCAACCAAATAGCCTGCCCAATCATCAACCCATAATATTAGCAGATATTTTTGGGCAAAAAAGGCTATCCAGGTTTCCAGGCTAAGCATCTAAACATTTGAGGTTAATATCATAAAAAATCCTAAACTGGTACATTTATGATAAATTTACCTCAAATTTTTTTATCACGAAAAACCCCAATCTGGTATATATGTGACAAATTTATCCCAAACTAATTTTTTGACCATAAAAAAATCCAAATTGCTACATTTGTGACAACCCTCTGTTAAATTGGATTAATATCATAAAAAAATCGCAAATTTGTACACCTGTGAGAAATGGAGGATAATACCAAAAATCGATACATCCGTCAACTGTCACGTGTCATATAACTTAAAAATTTGACGGTAAAATTTAACGGAAATTAATAGAAGGTAAAATTGTTACAGGTGTACTAGTTTAGGATTTTTCGTGGTCAAAAAATTAGTTTGGGATAAATTTGTCACATGTATACTAGCTTAGAATTTTTCATGGCATTAACTCAAACATTTGTGATTGAGAAACAAACATTATTGCTAGAGAAATCACGGCACAATCACCTTTGCTTTTTCCTTTTTTTTTTGGTCCAAATAGAGAGAACTCGTACAATCAAAACCATACATAAAAATAAAAAAAAGATGCAAGAAAATTGAACATTTTTGGAAACTTTAGTTGAGAGAATTAGGAACAGTGATAAGCAAGCATTCCTTGCAACGCAATTATCCAACTTAATAGCGCCATCAAATGAAGAACAAAAAATCAGAACAGCCCAAAAACATCATGCTCCCAAAATCATATAGTGAAAATACGAGCAGAGATAATAGAAATTAATTATTTTCAAATGAAACATAGCGCAATAACGAATTAGGGCCTATTCGGTAAAGGAAGGAAAAAAAGAAAAGAAAATATAGAACAAAATTCAAAAAATTTAGAAAAATACAGAAATTATTAAAAAAACTGAAAAAATGTCCACGTCACAAAAATGTAGGATCATACCAAATACTATTATGTTCTTTTTTTATTAAGAGAATAGAAATTTTGTGCAGTTAACAAACACGTTCTTCTACTCAGAAACTCGTATAGGGAATAGAAGTAGAAAAATCTATTTCTGGAAAGAAATTGTTCTCAAGAACAGAAAAGTTACCAAACGCAGCCTTGATCATCTGGATTTCTAGTCAGAATAGGATAAAATAGGATAGGATATGAAATCCAAGGGATTTGCAATATCTTATCTATTGTTTGGTGAATCGCAGTAATAAAACCGGATATTTTCACATCTTATCATGTCTATTATCTGCTATGAATGTCATATCAATGTAAATGAACTTAAAAATTGCACACACAGAGATAATAAAAATTTCTCACAACACTCTTACCTACTTCATTTTTATTTTCTTATTTTTTTATTTTTTTCCCTCTCTTTTTAAATTCTTTTCTTTTTTCATTTCTTTTTTCCCCTTCATCATTCTCTAATAAAATTTTATTAAATAGTAAACTATTCTAATGTACAAAAAATATGTAATAAATATAAATACTAAATGTATTTATTTATATATATGAAATTTATATCATAAGATAGAAAGAAATTTGAATATATAAATAAAAATAAGAAAAAAATAAAAACAAAATTATTTTATTTTTTTGTTATTTTGAATTTTTATATTGAAAATAAAACATTATATATATATTCAAATATTAATTTAATTTTATTAATTTAACAAGTTTGTTATTCGAGAAAAATAACTTTTATATTATGAATATTATAAATCCTATCCAACTTATCCCACCTCCCCATGGGATATTCTTATCCGGGTTATATCCCTTATATATCCGACTTTATCCTGTCTTAGGTAGGCACCGAACATGCGATAAGATAAAATTTATTCTATTCTAAATTTTATCCCGACTACCAAACGTGGCCTTAGAGTACATATACAAACGAAAAGGGATAATAATAACCTTTCCCGAGTTCCCTCTTTACTTTATCCATCCCTAGATGCAAGACATGCCATTAATGTGGCCACAACAAAGACACCTGCACTTCTCAAACATAACAAAATGAAAAAAGATGAGCTAACAGCACCGTTATTTATCTAGCAGAAGACTTGTAAAACAGGTGAGTTGGATCGAGTTTGGGTCGGATCGAAAAGGGTCCGACCAATATTGACCCATTTAACCTATTTTGACTTATTTCCATACAACACAATTCTAGCAACCATATCTAGCCCAATTCATGCCCGACTCATACCCGATTTGACCCAACCCATATTACTAAAAAACTTCAATATTAAATCCAATTTAGAAAAACTTGTTTCTTATAAATTTTTAAAAATATATATTGCTAAAACATTGTTGACAATTTTTATAATTTTTAAAAAAATTATGATTTTTTAAATATTTTGTTCTTTTTCTTTCTTTTTTTCTCTTCAATATTCGACAACCGGCGACGATTGATAGCCGTCGGTGACCGGCGATCGCCAACCGACCAGGGACCGACGACGGGCAACTGGTCGGTGATCGATGAATGGCAACAACCGACGATCGACAGCGTTTGGTAATGACCCGTGGTTGCCGACCGGTGATTGGCCACGACCGGTGATTGGCGACGACCGGTGATCGATGACGACCAATGGCTGGCGGCCGCCAATCGACGATTGGTGACCGGCAACGACCAATGATTGGAGGCGTTCGTCGACGACCAACGACTGGTGACAGGCGACCGCCAACCGTTCGGCAACTAATGGCAACCGGCCGGCGATCCTTGCCGGGTTTCCTAGAAAAAAAAAGGAAAAGAAAAGAAAAGATTAAAAATATGAAAAATCAGAAAATTAAAAAGAATTAAAAAAAATGACTTGCTGCTATCTATGACTCACTTAACAAATCCATTTATAAACTATTTAAAACCCATTTAAGACCCATTAAGTTGTTAACTAATTCATTTATGACCCACTTAAACTTGTTTTCAAAACTTAAGACACCCTATTTATGACACACATTATTAAATATGAGTTCTAGACCCATTTTGTCATCTCTATCTAGCAGTGACAAATACAGTTGTTCACCGAACTTTAGTAAAATAGTTGTGCATTTGAATAGACCAAGTGAATTTCAATTTCAATAATTCTTTGAGATATTCTGAGTTATCTCTAGAGCAAATGCTTCTTATGAGTGTCCACAGTAGGCGAAGTAAGATAAAAAAAAATAAAAATATACAACTCACAGGCTTCAAGAGAGGGGCTTGATAAAATAATATTACACAAAATTTCATATGTTACGATATTCAATCACTAAAAGTTACACTCGGGAACAAGCAATTAGGAGATAACAGCCCTCAAAAGCCCCCCTTTGATCCGTTTGTTGCTTGTACAATTAATTTATTTATTATATTTAAATATATTTTACACTACTTGGTACTTCTTATTTGATTGAATAGAATGTCCCGTAATGCTCGAGTACATAGAGAATTGCTAAGCTAAGGGAGGCCTCACTCCAGCTAATGACGGTGCTCCACTAGCCACTGGTGTTTTTGATAAGGAAACCAGCTAATTCAGACAAGTTTAGATTTTTTTAAGCACCAATGGCTATTTTGACAAAAAAATAGGACCTTCCATTTAAAAGAAAAGGTTTTTTGCTCTTTCATAATTGATATAAGGCCAAAATAAGAAAATTCTCACGCTGTTCAAATAACGTTAGTAAAAATAGTTGTGCTCTTGTACATCGTTGCTTATCAACTTGCAATATTTATGTAAACAAAGATGAGCCAACGACACCGTTATTTTCTAGCTAGTTTCTCAGCCACACATGTTTACATGCTCAACCAAAAACTTGACTAATCAGTTTGCTCAAAGACATCCGCAAATATTCGGGGTGATGACCATATGATCTATTTGGCTGAAAATATAAAAGGAGTTTCATTTTGTGGGGAAATAACTTTTTTTAATTGAAGAGCCTCGCTCTTTCCACTGTCCACTGTATTAGAGCTCAATGATTCTTATTTTATAAAAAGGGAAAATACCACAAAAAACCCCAAACTATGTCACTTGTGACAAATTTACCTAGAATTTTTTTTGTGATACGAAAAATCCGAAATTATTCCACTTGTGACACATTTACCCCACAATACTTTTGCCAAAGGGCATTTTCGTCTTTTTCATTTTTCTTTTTTTTTTTTCCTTTTTTTTTCTTTCCTCTCTCTTCCCTTCCGCCGTGGCCGGCGGAGGGAAGCCGGCGAGGGCGGTCCTCGCCGGCGTTAGTGTGTCGGAATTTTTAAATCAAACTTGTCAAGTGCAATCCGATTGATTTAATTAAGCCATGAAATTTTTACCTCAAAGTGTTCAAGTGGCGCTTTAAAATTGCTGCTACGCCACATCGTTAACACGTACTATTTCAACATAAGTTTTAGGACATAATCGAACCGATTAAAATATTTAGGGCTCAATTGTATTTTTTCATAATAAAAGTGCGGCATCCGATCAAATTAATTAAAAGATCTAAAACTCGACTCGATTCTGTACATGAACAATGAGCCTTACCATTTACTCATCCACCAACTCCACTGATAAAACAGAAAGGGATGGAGAGAGATCGAGAGCCAAAACCATGAACTATAATATATATATATATATATATATATATATATATATATATATATATATATCAATAATTCGAGAGTTCAATCAATAGCAATTCATGCATGGATACCAATATATATCTCTGTAAGAAATAAATAAATAAATAAATAGATAGATAGATAAAAAAAAAAAGACTATAAGAAAAGAGGCGCCAATTTGGCCAAGCGGATTTAGTTTGAACTGGACGGGCCTTAACTATGGCAGCTCTTCTTCGGGCCCAAGTCTCTCTCGGGCCCACGTGGGCCCGATATTTCTCCATCCCAAAACGGTGCGTTCAGCGAGCGACAGCAACGGATGGTCATCTCCGAGTGTTGTGATCTGAACTGCCCCCCCCAGCTCGCATCCGTCGCAGCTGTCACGACGGCCTAGTGAGGAGACGACGGACGATGGCGGGGCTGCTGGCGTGGGCGGCGGACGTCGTCGTCGGGGGCGGCGCCAGCGACGGGGAGGACGAGCGCGACTCGATCCCCGCCCTCTTCACCGAGGAGCAGCGGCGCTACGCGCGCGAGCTGGATCGGAAGGCGGCAGCCCTCGGCCGCTCGATCCAGGATCTGCGGGCGAGGATCCCGCCGCAGGACATCGCCCAGCGCCTCCCGCACCTCCACGCTCACTCGCTCGCCTCCAACGCCGCGCTCGCGCTCCAGCTGAACTCTCACTCCACCACGCGCGAACAAGTAATGATCGCCCGGAATTTGTTATGTCTTTATAAGTGTTTTTAATTTTATGTTGAATTGCACTTTCCGGTGCTCGATTTCGTTTCAGCTAGAATTTGTTGATGGTTTTGGAGAAATTCAATATATGTGCTAGTGAACTCAGAAATCAAAGAAATTATGCTGGTGAGGACTCTGATTGATTTTGATTGCTGTTTGTGCTGATCATGTTATAGTAACCTGTTGCTACTATTGGTGAATCTCTTCTTTTTACCCCTGTGATGGTGAGTTACAACCGTCCACATCACCCGCATGCGAAATCAACTAAATGTATACGTGGATGATGTCCGTGGTTTTAACCGACCTGCCAATCAGAAGGGTGATTGCAGGAGCTTCGACCCGAAGAAATCGCACTTTTACGTTTTGTTTTACCCCTATTGTTTAGTGCCACTAAGATGTTCAGACTCTGATCACTTTTCATGTCGCCTGGATATGAAGAAGCAAGCATTACTTGATGATAGAGACGAAAAGGAAAATAACGCTTTGTTGAGAATATTGTTGGAAGATTGTACTGTAATTTGGTTACGCTTGCCCGTTTTAATGGGTACAACTCCTTGTGTTTGACTGTAGCTCCAAAGGCTGGTTGAACTTTCAGATCAATCGCATATGTGTTTGTAGATTGAAATGTTGACTTAAGGTTTAACACGTGGGCCGGCCGGTTGAACTTTCAGATCAATCGGATACAGTTTTTGTAGATTGAAATGTTGACTTAAGGTTTAATACATGTCAGACCCAACTGAGGGAAGTGACCCTGCAAGAAGAAAATGCGGCCTACGAAAAGGCCATCTTGAACTGTGAGAACAAAGTTAAAGAGAAAATGCAGGAAGCAGACGCACTTCAAAGGAAGTTAGTGGTATGTTTGAGATCCCAAAATATCATGTGGTTCATTGCATCTATTATATGATATGACATATTAAGTATTGGCCACATTTTTTGCAGGATGTTTTGTTAAATTGTTGGGCTTTCAGAATAGTCAAAGTGACCTTTTCTTTTGTGAGACGAAAATTGTTCAAATGGACTTCATGTCTTGTTGTATACCAGGATATTTTTGCGTTCATTGCCGCTAAAAATAAATCTGCTTCGCATAATGACTCTTTCCTTTTTCTTTTGGGGTCGTTGCTGAACAATATGTTAACAGGATATGGATGAGAATGAAGAGAATTTGACGGCTGAACTGGAAAATGCTCAATCAGCAATTGAAATTGACGAATCTGATCGTTGTCCGGAGATAGTGGTTGAATCTAAGTCTCAACTGGATATTCAACCTGCATTGGATGCGGAAACTTCTAAGTCTACTATGCTAGAGAACTTGGAGAGCAAGAAGAAAGAGTTGGTCGGTAGTTGACTTTTAAGTTCTTGTGCTCATAAATTTCCCACTTTCCCCTTTATCTTTTCTATCTGAGACCTCCTACTTGTCAGCTGAGAGCTTTATTTGCAGAGTGCTGTGGAGGAGAAAGTTAAAAATGTAGAGAAGAGATGGGCGCTGATTCAGGAAAATGCACTGAAACAGCCTTCACCAGGTATCTAGCCTGAGTCATTATGAATCATTAGAGAAGTTCGAGTGTGAAGTGTCTTGGTACAAAAATTGGATACCTAGACATGATGTTTTTATGTGAATGGCGTCAAATAAGTGGTATGTTGGTTGTTGGTTTTAGTCTCACATGCTCACTAGAGGGGTATGTGAACGATAGATAAATGTCGGTTTTGTTTTTTTAATGAGCTAAATGAATGACAATGTAGATGTTCCAAATGGGATAGTACCGGCCATTGAAGCAGTGGGAGTGAATCCAAAGTGATGTAGAGGAATCAAGTTTTTGATTAAAATAACAGAATACAGCAATATAATCAAAGCTAGAACATATATAACTTAATCTCCAGGGTTTCGAAAAGCAAGCGACAAAATGACAAGTCTACAGTAATCAATATGACAAAATTCGGCTTATATAGCATTAAAGCCTTCCGGTTGATCTATTTATAGATCCTTTAATCTCAGGCATTGAATTGAAAGTCACATTCTAGTCAAATATGTCTTAATTCTAGATAGTGACTCAAATTTAAAAAAGAAATAGTATAAGTCCTATAGCACTGTTCGAATGTCCCACCAGGTGCAGGGAAACTGGATCTGTATAAGGTCCATAAAATCCCATAGTTCAAATGACTCGGATCACTTTAGCACCCCCTTTCGTATATAAACTGGACAAATAATGACAAGAGGAAACAGATAATAGGACATACAAGAATTACACGCAAAATGAATTAGTAGGGCATGAAGATTGAAACTTGGGGCTTTGATACGACATTGTAATGTCCGACCAAAAGCTTAAGCTATTAGGTGAAGGAAGTTACTTATATGTAAAGCCCCTACACACTACATGAGCGAGCTTTGTGGGATAACTTGAAGAAATACTAAATAATAAGAGCTAATATATTTAGTATTATTAAAATTCTTCAGTTTTCTTATTGCTCCTGCATCAAAAGGTTTTAAAAGTGTTGATGGTGTCTTATAGTAGCATATATGGCTCATTGGTTTGTATGTTTTAATTGAACATAAATGTTACTTGAGCAGTTTCAATCATCATTACCTTTTCATTCACTGATACTTCTTTTCCCTTTCATCTTCATTCTCATCTACGTTTTATTTTATACTCTGGCTGCGTGAATTGGGGGGTGGGGGAGGGACATGTTTGAGGCTTGAGAGTTGAGCGAAAGAGATATGCAGTCATGAGAGAACTAATAGTGAAGCAAGGACGTCGTATGTTACTCTTAATGTTTTTGCTGAAGTCTTTAATAGTTGTCTGTGAACTGCATAAATGGTAGCAACCGACAACTCTAATATAAAAGATATTTGACTTTTGCAGCTCAGAGAGAGAAGATATTGGATAAACAGCTGCACAGTTTGCTGGAGCAATTGGCAGCGAAGCAGGTAATTTAGTTGTTTAAGTGATGTGCACTTCTTCCTACATAAAAAATTCAGGCAACTTTTCTGGAGGAAGACATTAGAAGTCTCTCTGTTGATTGTAGGGCCAAGCAGAAGCCTTGGTCACTGAAGTCCATGAGAAAGAAAAGGAACTAGAGAGGTTGAATGGGCTATGGAAGAGGCTGGAGAGTAATTCTTCGGAGGTGAATGCTACAAGAAACCGGTTTGGAAGAAGCATGTTTGACAAAGGGTCTGCTTCTTCAGATTACATAGTTGATGGGCAACACAAACCTCTCTTTAGCATTGGCCGATGGGACAGCCCGCAGAGGCCTGCTCTATTGAGGTCGGGTTTCGTGCTTTATATTTTAGCTTTGCACATCCTAGTCTTTCTCAAGATTTCCTTTTAGGAGAATTTTTCTGGTTTCCTGCCGAATCAGGTGTATGAGTTATTCTTGTATATAATATGAAATTTTCCTTACAATGTTATCTGTTCTATTCTTCTTCAATGGCTTTATTTCTCTGTAGATCATCAAGATTCTTGTAAGTTTGAATAACTAGTTTCATGTAAGCTATAATTTCACTAAATAAAGAGTTTTAAAAGCTTACTTCATCAAGATTCTCCGGAGATCAGATTCTTTCGTCCAGCTATTGCTATACTTTATAGGATAACTTGCCATAACTTTTGGCATAGTTAAAAGAGGGGAACAAGGGCTGCTTAGAGTGTGATCTTTGTGAATCAAGTGTCCAAGTAACAAGGTAAAACCATGCAAACTGCATCCTTCTTACTGGAAGAAGGTGCAGTACAGTTGTGACCTATGGAACTATATTTGGCACTTTTTCCTTTTCGTTGGAGTGTTTAAATGAGTCTTATCTAATAGCTTAATCTTTTTAGGCAATGTATAGGCTAAATTCACCCAGAGAAATATCTAAAACTAATTTTGGCCTTCATTGTTTCTGCTCCAACTTTGAGAGTAGGTTCACCATTTCTGCTCCAATGCTGGAGGCAGGCCATCCTTTGAGTTCTGCTTCCCTTCTCTTCTCCATCGGGAGGGAAACATCTTTGAGGGGTTAGTTTGTTAAGAGTGTAGCTTCGTCTCTACTTCAGTAGTGTCTCCACCACTCGCAAGCGTAGTGCCGAGACTGTTATTGCCTCTGCTCCAATCTTGAGGACAATCTCATCCATGGTCAATTCATCTTGTTTGATTGTCATTGAAAGTAGTACTGTTGTTTCGTCTTCTCTTTATCTGTTTTTAATCTCCTTCGGTCCATTGCTGCTGTCCTTAATAATAGTCTTCTTCTGTGTCTTTTTTTGGTCGCTAACCTTCATCTCTGTCAGCTAGTCCATATTGTCCTGTTTTTTGAGACATGCATCAACTTAGTTTTTCTCCATCACACCTTGTCGTCGTTCCCTTCATCGAATCTGTGTGCGATGATTCTGTCACCATTTTCTGTTGTTGTGAAAGCATTCGGCACTCACCGATATATTATCTTTGTCATCTGGTGCTTTATCAATTCCCTCCACTGTGAATATTTTCAATTCTTCTGGAATCCTGTTAGGGTGACAGAAAGTGTAAAGTAGGAAGAATTATCGAACCTGGTTGCCTGTGGCCGGTGACCTCTGACCGTCGAGGCCGCAGACTGGCGGAGCGAAATAAGACGAAAGAGAAAAGAAAAAAGGAAAAATAAGAAAAAAAATTTAGGAAAATTATAAAAAATTTGCAATAATTGTTCATGTCAATGTCTCTGCCGTGCTCCATCGGATAGCCGGCATCCACGATAGCAATTTCCAACCAAAATTAGCCAAAAGGACTACATTAGCAATTCGCCAAAAGATTTAGAACTAAATTTGCCAAATTAAAAATTTGAGGATTGAATTGGCTGCCGTATAATAAAATTACGACATTTTGGACAATTTTCTCCACGTCCGAGAGCATCAAAAGGCTCGATTCCTGAATGGTAGAGCTTCAAACGGAGATGCAAGGGCTCTAATCCCAGATGGGAGAGCTCCGATGGGAGATGTTGGGCACCTTGAGCGCTACAACCAATGACCTCCGGCAACGGGACAATGCTTTGGTGGAGGCCATGCGCGCGGAGATGATTGAACTCAAGGTGAAATCATTGAAGTGGAAGCTACACGGTGATCATTGTGTAACCTAGTCCACGAGTGGATGCCCCCGAGCTGAAAGAATTTAAGGGCATAAGGGTGGCCAAGGATGGGGACGACTTTTATGGTATATGAAGCAGTGCTTCCAAGTCACGGGAATTACTGATGGGGTGCTTTGGGTAGGTACTGCAGCCATTTACTTGAGTAATAATGCTTTATTGTGGTCGCGTTGCAAGAGTGATAATAGAAGCGGCGAAGCCATCACAAGTTGGGAAAAATTCCTTTAGGAATTCCGCCAATAATACTGCCACGCACATGCGGTGGAGGAGGGTTGGAACGATAATCATTTCCTGGAACGAAAAGGTGAGTTCGGGAGTGCTTGAAGAGTTTCCCGAAGCTGTTGCTATAAATTCCTTCCATGCACAAGAAGAAAGCCTTTTCCAATTTATGGGTGGTATCAAACCATGGGCGAAGCTTGAATTGAGGTGGCCATGTGCAAAGAATCTATCGACGGCCATGTCAGTGGCTAGACACTCATACAGTTTGAGACGAACTTCGGGGTATAAGTCGGACTCTCAATCTAAGAACAAAGGCATTGTTGGGGGAAATCGCAACAAGTTTCATTGCCCAAGTGGAGGCCAACCACCAGTTGCCCCCGCGAAGGCGAAGCCGGAGATGAGCGGCAGGGATTACAAGAAAGATTGCTTTTCCTTAAAGTGCTTCTTGCGTGCCCTCGTGATTGCCCAACGCGAGGTTTGTAAACACGACCATTTGGTAAACTCGCGGCGCTAGTCAAGGCCCGCGAGGAAGAACGGGAAGAGACACAACTTGGTTCGTTGCGGATCCTAAGTTCCATCAAAACAAAGAAGACGAACAAGCCAAAGGGGCTTATGTTCGCAGATGTGACGACTGTGAGTGCCACAATGAGTGCACTCGTGGATACGGGCACATCTCGCCTCTTCATCTAGGAGGAGGCTGTGAGGAAGCTAAATCTTTTTGTTGAGAAGGGAGCCAAGTGGCTCAAAACAGTGCATTCAAAGAAACTCCCCATATGCAGCGTGGCTAGAGATGTGGAAGTTTGAGCAATGGAGGAGCAAAATAAACTATTGAGGTAACCCCACGTGTTGATTATGACTCTGTTATCAGCTTGGTTTACCTTAACATGATAGCTGCTTTTATTGTTCCATTCGCTGTCTGTATTTGCGTTCTTAATAAGTAGGGCCAATGTGTGGTCCCAGTAAAATGATAACAGAGAGGTGATTGAAATATGCTCTTGGCAATGCGAGTCCCCAAAGGAGCAAAGAAAGGGGAAATGACCTTCTTGGCAACCCTGGCCATCGAGGACTCCAAAGGCGACGGGAGTGATGTCCTAGTGGAGGTAGCCCAAGTCTTATTCCAGGATGTGATGCTTCCTAAGCTACCAAAGAAGCTACCACTTTGAAGGGGGGTGGATCATCAGATCGAGTTGGTACCCAATGCTTGACCACTTACCATGGCAACATACCACATTGAACCCCCAGAATTATAGGATTTGCGGAAACAACTCAAACGGTTGCTTGATGTCGGCTACGCCGTTCAAAGGCACCGTTTGGCGCCTGGGTCACTCCATATATGCATTGATCATCAGGCGCTGGACAAGTTGACAATAAAGAACAAGTACTTGATCTCGCTCATTGCCGACTTGTTCGATCAACTGAGGAGCACTATGAGGAGCAGAGAGAAGCAGACATGCTGGTGGTCCTCTTTCTTCGAGGTCTTGGTCCAGATCACAGTGCCCTAAGACAGCAGATTACTTCTCTGGGCACCCTTCCTTCCATAGAGGAAGTATATTCTCGAGCTGCTCGGTACACTCCTGATTCGAAAGCTTCAACTATGTCAGATAATAGTGCTATGGTGGCTCGTGGTAATCAAGGAGTTCGTGGTCGTGGCAATTGGAGTACAAGTAACTTTAATCATGGTCGTGGCCGCACTATTCCGGGTCGAGGTGTTCCTCGAGGTGGTAGTACTGCTAGTGCTAGAGGAGGTCGTGGAGGTCGTTTTTGTACTCATTGTCAGTTGGCTGGACACACTATTAACTATTGTTATGATCTCCATCCTGAGTTGCGGGGTTTACAGGCTTCCATTGATATTGAGCCTCGGTCTTCTTCATCTGGATCAGCTTCCGAACAAAGTACTGTGCAGTTGACTCGTGCAGAATATGATGAGCTGATTAGAGCGCGACAACCTGGTGGTTCTTCAGCTCCTGTTTCTACTTTGGCACAACATAATGATGGTACTTGTCTCTTAGCCACTACAGATACACTTAGTCCTTGGATTATTGATTCAGGTGCCACTCATCATATGACTGGTGATTCGCGTCTTCTTACTTCATCTTCTTCTACTCCTTCCACTTCAGTCACCTTAGCAGATGGTTCAAAATCTCAAGTAGCTGGTACAGGTTGTGTGTCATTGAATTCCTCCATATCTTTGCCTTTTGTTTACCATATTCCTCGATTCCCTTATAGTTTGTTATCTGTCAGTTCCATTACTCGTGATCTTGATTGCAATATCACCTTTTCTCCATCTTCATGTGTCCTCCAGGATCGGAAGACTGGACGCCGGATAGGTGGTGGGCGTGAGGCTGGTGGATTGTATCTTCTAGACCCCGTGATTGTTGCTGCTACTGCTACTATTCAGAAGAAGGCTGTGGATGACTCTTATCGGTTGCATTGTCGTCTGGGTCATCCGTCAACAGATACACTTTGTCATTTTCCTTTTGTGTCTAGATCGAGTCTTAAGTTTGATTGTGAAACGTGTCAGTTGGGAAAGCATCATCGTGTGTCTTTTCCACCCCGTGTTTTGAGTCGTGCTTCTCAACCATTTGAGTTAGTCCATTCTGATGTTTGGGGTCCTAGTCGAGAGTCTTCATTTGGTTTTCGTTATTTTGTCACTTTCATTGATGATTGTACTCGTACCACTTGGTTATATTTAATAAAAGATCGTACTGAGGTATTTCACTCCTTTCGTCAATTTTACAATGAAGTTACTACTCAGTATGGATGTCCTGTTAAATGCTTACGTACAGATAATGCTCGTGAGTATTTTTCTTCTTCCACCTTTCTTCCTTTCCTTGAATCTCGTGGTATTTTACATCAGAATTCTTGCGCTCACACTCCACAACAAAATGGAGTTGCTGAATGTAAGAATCGTCATTTACTCGATGTTGCACGGTGTCTTCTTCTTCATACACATGTACCTAAATCTTACTGGAGCTATGCTATTCGTACAGCATGTCATCTTATTAATCGTCTTCCATCTTCTGTGTTAAAGGGAGCTGTTCCTTTTACTCTTCTTCATCCTAATCAACCTTTATGGTCTATTCGTCCTCGTATTTTTGGTTGTGTCTGTTTTGTCCATCAGTTGTCTCCTGGCCTAGACAAATTATCTCCCCGTGCTGAAAAATGTGTCTTCGTTGGTTACTCTCGTACCCAAAAGGGTTATGTTTGTTATAATCCTACTTCTCGTCGAGAGTACGTCTCTGCTGATGTTACCTTCTTCGAGGATCGGACATTTTTTGGTAATGTTTCTTGTCCTGCACCGTCTTCCTCACCTTCTCAAACATTGTTAGTTCCCCTACCTATATCTCCAGCAGAATCACCATATGTCTCTTCTCTGTTGTTCCATCAAATCCAAGTTCATCTCAGCCACTACGAGTCTATACACGTGGTCCTCGCCGTGCTTGGAATCATGACTCTCCATCAGCAGACGCCTCACCACTATCTCCGGCCCCGGCTTCTGATCCTCTTCCATCACCTCCAGTTGACTCTCCTGTTGTACACCGTACTCGATCTCGGTATCCTCTTGCTCATTTTGTGTCTTATCATAATTTATCTCCTCAAATGTCATCATTTGTGTCGTCTCTCGCATCTGTGTCTGTGCCCAATAGTGTGCAGGAAGCTTTAGCTCATCCAGGTTGGGCTCGTGCTATGGAGGAAGAAATGGCTGCACTACAACACAACAAGACTTGGGAACTTGTCTCTTTACCTCCTGACAAGCAATTGGTAGGTTGTCGGTGGGTATTTGTTGTTAAATATCATCCTGATGGTTCTGTTGAGCGCTTAAAGGCGCGTCTTGTTGCGAAGGGCTATACTCAAAATTATGGCATTGACTATGACGAGACTTTTTCTCCAGTGGCTAAAATTCCTTCTGTTCGTGTCATTATTTCTTTGGCTGCTCGTTTTAAGTGGACTCTTCATCAGCTTGATGTTAAAAATGCGTTCCTTCATGGGGATCTTCAAGAAGAGGTCTATATGGAGCAACCACCCGGGTTTGTTGCTCAGGGGGAGAAGGTATGCCGATTGCGTAAAGCTCTATATGGATTAAAGCAGTCTCCTCGTGCTTGGTTCGGTCGTTTTAGTGATGCTGTTACCAGTTTTGGTATGCATCGATGCAATGTGGATCATTCCGTATTTAGTATGTCATCTTTGAAGGGGTATGTTATTCTAGTTGTTTATGTTGATGATATCATTGTTACTGGGAGTGATGTTGAAGGCATAAAACGACTCAAGCAGTTTCTACAAAAGGAGTTTAATACTAAAGACTTAGGTCTACTTCGATATTTTCTCGGTATCGAAGTTGCATATACTGGTGATAGTATTGCTCTTTCTCAGAGAAAGTACGCCATTGATATTCTTAAGGAGGTGGGCTTGCACGATGCTAAGCCTGGTGATACACCTATGGACCCTGGGGTGAAGCTTGATAACGAACACGGGGAGCTTCTTCATGATCCAGAAAAATATCGTCGGTTGGTAGGCAAGTTGAATTATCTTACCATTACTCGTCCAGATATCTCATTTGCTGTTAGTGTGGTGAGTCAGTTCATGAGCTCTCCTCGTACTACTCACTGGCAAGCTGTCTTACATATTATACGATATTTGAAGGGAGCCCCAGGTCAAGGGCTTGTATTCCATAATCGGGGTCATCTTAATGTAGCTGGTTATTCTGAGCCAGACTCTTTGGAGGTGACAGGATACTACGATGCAGATTGGGCTGGTTGTCCTGTAGATCGCCGGTCTATATCGAGTGTTGTGTATTCCTTGGAGGTAATCTTGTGTCGTGGAAGAGTAAGAAACAATCAGTTGTTTCTCGATCTAGTGCAGAAGCAGAATATCGTGCTATGGCTAACGTTACAAGTGAGCTTCAGTGGATTCGTATGTTGTTGACTGAGATTGGATTACATATGGCAGGATCGTCTACTCTCCATTGTGACAATCAATCTGCCATTCATATTGCTAGTAATCCAGTGTTTCATGAGCGAACTAAGCATATAGAGATTGATTGTCACTTTGTTCGGGAAAAGGTGAATTGTGGTGATATACATCTGGTACATACACGGTCTGAGGAGCAATTAGCAGACATTTTCACGAAACCTCTACGGCGTGGACGAGTTTCATATATTTGCAGCAAGTTAGGTCTTTTTGATATGTATGCCCCAACTTGAGGGGGAGTGTTAGTTTTATTATTAGATAATTAGCAAGTTGGGTTTATTTTAGGATTAGGGTATTTAGGTCTTTGTATCAAGGCTTAACCCTAAGCCTATATATACTTGGTTTATCTCAATAATAAAGAAGATCTCTTTTACCAAATTACAATACCAAGACCAACTTTTGGGACTTAAGTGCTCCCGGCGTTTTCCACCTTGGGAACGTCAATTGCTTTGAGACTTCAATACGTATTATATTTACCCAGAGAGATTGCTCAGCTCTGGAGCTGGATGATTCTACAGCTTATGTAAGTTAGTTCGGGGTGATATTGTTATAAATAGGTTTTAATGGTCTGAGTCTGGAAAGTTGACTGGTCTTTATAGTATTTTCATGCATGCCATGCATGACTTGTCCATGAAAAAGGAACTGAAACAGCCATCCCCTTTTGCAAAATATATCATGTTTGACATGTCAAGGTAAAGTCCTAGAGGAAGGAACATTATGTGCTGGGTGCAGCATTAGTTAAGGACCTTTGATGTCTCACTTCAATGAGCAAGCGAAAATGGAAAAAGGGCTTCGTCCTTAATCACAGATGGGGCATGTTCGCTTTATTTGTTCCATGGG